AGAGCCTACTTTTAAGTTACTTGTTTTTTTAGGAATCAGAATGATCTACTTACTATGCTTTTAAATAATTGCTCCAAACAACACTTATGTTTCATACACATACAAAAAGCAGTGGAGGATAACAATTTTTATAATAGGAAATGTTAGTGGTGGCTCTTGAGTGTTTGGTGGCCATGAACCCCTTTTATAGTTTGATACAGGAAATTGAAAAAATTTAACTTCAGCATCTCTTCCCCCAGTTAAAGAAATGCATACATGTAGAATTCTGTATAATATTTCACAGAATTTGAGTCCTTTCCCCAACCTAGATTCTATCCATGGCTATCAGATTCTCCAGGTCTGGAGTAGGGCTCCAAGGCAAAGATTTTTCTGAGAAAATCTCTTGATTCTGATGTTCATTCCTGCCTAAGGACTATTGCTTTAGAATGAGTCTTGGGGAAATTTGTGTTACTTTTCAAAGCCAAGGCCTTTTCTTTGAACAGTTGGGCACTTGTCTTCAGCTATCAGAAAATCATCTGTGTTGCAGAGAAGTGACTGGATTGTTGTGCATTGGGGTTGGGCACAGTTTGTGGGAGAAGTTCCTTTGAGACCCAGATGCTCAGGATCAGCCTCAGGAACATATGTAAGCAGTTTAGTCTCTGGTTTTTTAAATGTCTGGGACAAGAAGCATTTACCAGACTATTGGGAGTGAAGGGGCTCACATGAGCAGGGTTGATGAATAGAAGAAGTTTTCATTTATTTCAAACACCAGAACTCCTACTTCATCTACCCAACACTTGAGCCCACTTCTCGGGAGTGTTGATTTGGATATCTGCCTTCTCATTTCAAAACTCACCCAGGGCTCAATTCTCTTTTTTTCAACAGTTTTATTGGCAAGTACTTTACATATAGTAAATAATTTACATGCAATAGTTCAATCATTCAATAATACCAAAGAGAATTGTACAATACCCCCACATCAATTCAGAGCACACCCCCAACACGGTTAAATTGCCTTTAAGATGCGTTATGCAATCACAATCCATTTTAGTGCTCCCTCCCATCTTCATTAGTTACTCCCAAATCCCCTTTCCCTCCCTATTGTCACCCCCACCCTTACCCCTCTATTCCCTATATCCTTGTATCATTATCATTATGTATCCACTCCTCCTGTGCTTTACAACCGGGAGACCCAACTGAAAACAATAAAAAAATTACGATAAAGTAGTAAGGGTAATAACAATCGTATACAGACAAAATACTAATAATGCGTAAGAAGGAAAAGACCCCTAACAATGTTGAAAAAGCCAGGGAAGAAGTTTCTGTCATGGATCAATTAAGACATACTTGCACCCAGAACAAATGCAGGTCTGTAGGGTGGTCAGCTGACCAAGTGACTGAGTTCAATCCAGCATAATCAAAATTACAGTGGTCTCTGCCTAATAGTCAGGCTGTTTGAGACTCTTGTTTGGCTAGAACGGATCTGCCAGTGTCTCAGTCTGACCAGATCCTCTGAGGATGGGTTTGGGCTCTCACTGCCCATTATAGCCCTCCGCAAATTGGGTCATCATAATTTTTGCTGTGATGCTTTTCTCCTCACCATATTTGAGTTTTGTATTTGTCATCTTTGGATCACAAACTGGTGTGCTTCTTCTGTGTGGACTTAGTGGACTCCTCGCTTAGATGGCTACTTGTTTTAATATAAGTCTTAAATACCAGACAATATTCCAATTGATAGCCAGGCACCATCTGCTTTCTTTACCATACTTGGCTGTAGCACCCTTATCTTCAGTAATCATTTCATGAAGGTGAGTATGGAGAAGGTCCCTGATGTAAGAACTGATTGTTCTTAAGTTGGGGCTAGAATATAGTGTGAAGGGCTCAATTCTTAATCTTCCTTTCTATACATTCTAGGTGATCTTAAGTAACCCTGGCTCCAACCCTGGCTCCTTCTTTGAACTCCAAATTTGTATATCCACTAGACTATTTGAGATTAATGACTGGGAGGATGGTACTCTGCAAGGCAGTGTTTGATTGTGTTGTATGGAAGAACATTGTGGGTCAGAACTGATTCAGCAGCTCCTAACAACAGCAAAAACACTTGAGACTGACACTTTGATAGACTTCAGAGTTCAGGTTCAATGCCAAACTCTTGATTCTTGACTTTACCTCCTACTTCCTGTCTTCCTTCATTATAGTAGATAGAACCTTGTTCTGACAGTTGCTTAGGCCAAAATCTTCTCATTTATCCTTTATTTTTCCCTTTCTTTCCCACATTTATCACATTCAGTTAACAAGCAAATCCTGTTTGTTTTATATTTTAAATACATCCATGTCTTACCACCTTCTTCACTACCTATTTCAAGGTACTTTTTCTCACTTGAATTTTAATTGCTTTCCCTACTTTCACCCTTGCCTTCAGCCTCCACAGTCAGCACTCCACACAACAGCTAGCATGACCCTTATAATAAAAAGTCTTCTCATGTCTCTTTTGTAGTCACACCACTCCAGTGGCTTTCCCTTTTTACAAACTACAGCGCTGACTACCTCACCTAATTTCCTATCTTTACTTCATCCCAGCTACATTACCCTTCCTGCTACTTCTCTTTTTTTAAATTATTTTATTAGGGGCTCATACAACTCTTATCAAAATCCATACACACATCAATTGTGTAAAGCGCATTTGTACATTCATT